CCACGCCCGGCTGCTTTTTTGATTTATTGTAGAGGTGAGGTCTCGCTGCCCAGGCAGGTCTCGAACCCGCGGGCTCAGGCAATCCACTCACCTCAGCCTCCCAAAGGCGCGGGATTACAGGCTGAGCCACCGAGCCCGGCTTATTTTTTATTTTTTGTAGAGAGGAGATCTTCATACGTTGCCCATGCTAGTCTCAAACTCCTGAGCTCAAGCAATCCTCTTGCCTCAGCCTCCCTAATGCTGGGATTACGGGCTTGAGCCACTGCAGCAGGCAAAATCTTGATCTTAAAGTGTAATTGTTCAAAAATATGTTTTCCAGATTGAAGCACTACAAGATAAAATTAAGAATTTAAGAGAAGTGAGAGGACATCTGAAGAGAAGGAAGCCTGAGGAATGTGGCTGTAGCAAGCAGAGGTGAGCGTGTTTCTGTCTCACAGTCTGCTGTCCAAGCTCATGTCTACATCAGCTAGAGAGATTAACTAGGTTTGTCTTTCTCCTTTCCGACAGAAAACAATATGAATGTATTATCATAGAGTAAGATGACCTAAACTACTGTTTAAGTCAAATCAAATATGCCGTAAACATAAACAGAAGGCTAAAACGTCCCATTAAACTAAAATAGTTACAACAAAGTAGCTGCCTGCCTTCTATTCCGCTTTCTTTTTATAAAATGGACCATTTGATCAAATGCAAGGTTATGAAGACTCACTTCTTAATCTTGCCTGCAGCTATTACAATAAAGAGAAAGGTGCGAAAAAGCAAGAAAAAATAAAGAGCCATCTTCACCCATTCAAGTAAGTAACTATTTTCCATGTTTGCTGGGAATCAAGGACTATCCACTGAGCACTTCTGAGAGGCTGGAGAGACCTCTGGGTTCCAAGCTGCTTCGGAAGAAGTAGGCCCCCCTGGGAGGGCACAGAGCTCAAGCAGTTAAAAGCAAAGCTCCACGCCTCACCAGGGGACCATGGTGATGTTCCTGGACTCCTCTGAGGGGGCCGTGCTGAGCTCTACTCTCATTCAAATCTTCTACCTCGCAGATAGGACCAGTAACTGGACTTTACTCCACTCCCTGCTTGCTGTGGAGAGTGACTGAGAGTTCTGGGCTCTCTCGATTCAGTTGGTGTATTCAGCATCTGTAATAGTGTTGAAGTCCGAAAATGGGGGAAATATATATATTTTTTAACTAATAGCAAAATTTGCTTGTGATGGAGATTTCACATTTGAACCATGACAAAGTTTAAATCTTTTATGAAAAAAAAAACCAAGACAATAAGAATAAATGTTTAAATTGGCTTTTCAAATTTATTTTGTAGAATTTGTCAAATAAGTTTTGAAACCTCATCCGAGCCATCTACTCCAACTAGCCATTGACTCCATGGCTGATAGGGGCTGAGCCACCCAAAAATGATGACAATTGTCCAAAGTGTGTGACTAGCAGGACCCACTGCTTCACATTCACATTTATTCCCGTTGATGTTGACGTGTGCAGGAGGAAGGAAATGTTGACCCCCTGAAGGTTCCATGAGGTTCTAAGAGAGTCGTCACTAAATGCATTTACCTTCCCTATCCTTGCCTGCTTCCATTTCAAGGTCCACCATACAAAAGGAAGATCCCTTAGTATTGTGTCTGTTGTCAGGTATCCATATGTGAGACTCAGAGCAACAAGCCTGTTTTTAACTGAGAAAGCTCCTTCTACTGAACAGGGAAGCTGCCCAAGAAGTAGACAGCAAACTGCAGCTCTTCAAGGAGAACCGCAGGAGGAAGAAGGAGAGGAAGGAGAAGAGGCGGCAGAGGAAGGGGGAGGAATGCAGCCTGCCCGGCCTCACCTGCTTCACACACGACAACAACCACTGGCAGACAGCCCCGTTCTGGAACCGTAAGTCACTTGTTCCAAATGCCGCTTCCTGCCACCATGCGGAGACTTGGCGGCTTGGAACTTAGACTAGTAACTCAGTGGCACAAAACCAGGAATCTAGAAAGGTCAAGAGGAAAGCATCATATTCTCTCTTACACTTGTAACTCGAATCACTCTGCTAAACATTACTTTTTCTTTATAAGTTTTTTTTGGTTTTGTTTTTGTTTTTTTTTAATTTCAAGCTTCTTTCTGCTGATGCTGTTTCACATGCTACCTAGCACCTGGTTTCTGGGTTTCTACCCAGTAAGACTGCTTTATTACTAAGTAACCAAATGGATGAACATCCAGTTGATGGGTGGACAGTTTTGCCCCAAAGAGGTTTTGTTTCTGCTTTTTAAAAAATTGAGTACATACTGTAAATGCAATAAGAAATTAAAGAATGGTAAAGCCTGCAAAATATAGGGCCCATATTTTACTTTCAATCCACTCTACTGAAGAATAATAGGGACTTTACAAAATTATTTGATTTTATATTGAATTGCTAAGGATATGGAATAATAATATTTATGCACTTTTAAATTTTGTGCTTATATTTTCTTAGTGGCCTGTGCATAATATTCACTGAGGCCATATAGAAATAATACCCTAAAGCCGGGTGCAGTGGCTCACACATGTGATTCTAGCAATTTGGGAGGCCGAAGTAGGAGGAGCACTTTAGCCCAGGAGTTTAAGACTAGCTTAGCCAACACAGCAAGACCTCATCTCTACAAAATAATCAAAAAATTAACCAGGTGTGGTGGCACATGCCTGTAGTCCCAGCTATTCAAGAGACTGAGGTGGAATGATCACCTAAGGCCAGGAGGCCGAAGCTGTGGTAAGCCGTGATTGTGCCACTGCATTCCCATGTGGAAGAAAGAGTGAGACCCTGACTCCCTCCCCCAAAAAAGAAAGAAATAATACCCTAAATGCAGGTGGTGCATCACCTGATTGAAGGTTTACCAGGCTGTTGAGTAGACGAAATATAGAATCTTCTGAGAGGATCACTGGAGACCATCCAGGTCAGGGTTTCTCAAACTGGGATTTGAAGATTCCAAAGGATCTAAAGACTATTCCTGGGGAGATCGAGGGCCTATCTAGGAGAATTTTTATTTTATCTTTCTGTTTTGATCCTTCTTGATTTCAATGTCCATGTTTACGTCATATTGAGGCTGAGTAAACTCCGAAAGTCATAGCATTTAACTTTAAAGTGAGTATCACTTCTTAAACTGGGGTGTGGGGATCTCTGCGGGTTATTCAGATTGCTGGAGGTCTCTTCTCTGTCAGGCCACGGGCTAAGTACTGGGGACATAATATCGAGCAAGACACTTTGTTCCCTACCCTCATGACACTTACATCCTGACAGGGGGTGGGAGGGCTAATAAAAAAGAAAGTGAATGAAATAAATAAGTTGTAGGGATACTATGAAGGAAACAGAGATGGTGGTTTTTTAAGGATTTGCTTTTAGAAAGTGTAGGGGTAACGGGTCTTTGTGAAGAAGTGAAATTCAAGCTGAAACCCAGAGAGTAGACAGAAGCAATTCATATGGAAAGGAGAGTATCCCAGAAGAAGGGAGTAGCATGAGCAGGGGTCCTGAGGCAGTCACCGATTTGGGGTGTCCAGGACTAGCAAGTCCCTCAAAAGAGGAAGCACGGAGATACCCGAAGTCAGAGTCGCTCATGCCACAAGGAGGCCTCCGTACCATCTGAGCGGAGGCTGTCCTGCCAAATCGCCTGTGGTCTCCCAGACTCATCTCTTGTTCTCATCAATTCATTCTGTTCCAAGGAGCTAGCGCGATCATGTAATGACGCCCCACTTTCTTAGACTAAAGAGTAAAATCCC